GTTCCCTTGGCATATTCCACTTCAGCCTCCGTGAATCTGTACAATTGCTCTCAGCACCTTCCTTCAACACTATGTACAATGCCCTGGAAATCCAGAGATGCAGATACAAACATGTTAAATTTGTTATATACAGGCATTCAGAAATAAGCAAACCTTTTATAAGCAGGATTACTGATTAGCCAATGAAGCAGACAATGAACATTTGCAAGTCAGCACTGCTGAAATTAGGAAAATGCCATTTCTTTGCTTGTTGTCCTATGTCCTTGAGCATCCAATGTAGCAAGATAAAGAATGATTCATGGATCACACCAAACAGGCACTAAAGCATCTATGAAGGTCACATACGGTATGAGTCTATAGGACTGGTTGTCAGGGTGTCAGAAAATCACAGCATTGGAGGAAGCAGTGTAAGGTCTTCTAGTCCAACCCTTGCTTGATTCATTGGGAGAGCATGAGTGGAAGCAGCTGGTAAGGAAAGGATTTATTTAAGAAGCCCTGAGGGAGCTTCCTCACATGCTGCTCTCCACAGGCACAAGAGTTCACTCACTGAGTTTGACAGTACTTGCCTCCACGGAATAACTTTCTGAAGGCTTCAGCTGAAGAAAAGATACACTATTTAGAAATACCACCATGGAGATGTTTCATTATTTGTGGCAATCAGAAAGCATCATAGACAATTTCTCCTTTTAAAAAAAATCTCATAGTACAATATATATAATACCCCCACAAAAAAATACAAGATGCTAGCTAATTCTGACAGTGGGTTGAAATCAACAACTAAGAAGCAGCTTTTCTATATAACCTCATGCTCTCTTTGCAAATGTTTATAACATGACATATTCCAACAAGATGCATAGATTGGCAGAGTCCAATCAAGCCAAAGGCACGCATCTTCTCAAATCCCACTGCCACTAATGTATGAGGAAAAACAGGGATTCTCAAAGGGTGGATTACGAACCTCTGGGGGTGGGGGGTGGGGGTGTTGCAGCATTTTCAGTTGATCTGGTTGCCCAGGCAAAGCAGCCAGCAGGGCTGTCAATGTTCATTTCTACTTTGCTTGAGAGGAAAGCCCAGGAAAGCTAAACCTGTGGGTCTGGCCAACTGTCAACACCATCTGCCAATCAGCAGCGCTGTGATTGATGCCAGCTGGTGACTTCCCATATGGCATGTAATAGTATAGCTGTAATTTTGGTGTGACTATAGAAGTAAATTTCAGTATTTTTACCCATTATGTTAAATTTCTAGCCTTTCAAAATGGAAACTTTTGTTGGGTGGGAAGACAAGAGTTAAAGGCGACCAATCTACCAGTCGTGCTCGTCCAATTAAGATTAAGCCAAGAGATTATGATGAAAATGACATATCTTTTAGTAATTGGTATGTTTATTTCTTGCCCACTCCTAACTCCTATTCATTTAGTTATTCAAATTAATTCATTATTTTAGGGAGGTATAGAATCACAAAGTTTGAGAACCCTTGAGTTAAAACACACAAGATATTTTCTCTCTAAATTCAATGGAATTATACAATCTAGATTACATACCTATTACACAAAAAGATCTGGATGTTGAACAGAATAAAGCGAATAGCTAATTATTATATTAAACTACTATCGAGCAAAAGATACAGAGAAAAGTGCTTCAGTTTGTCTGAATTGTGCCCACAGGCAGTATTAACCAAATCCAAAGCATAAGTATTTTGTCATTCTTTCCATCTCAGTATCACTGTTATTCAAATAAGCCTACATTCCTCCCTCAAACACACAGATTAAAAACTAGAGGGAAGCAAAAGGAAAAAGAGATTCCTCCCAATGAAACTATATCCATTAAAATGACAAATTATTCTCACATGCAGTTTTTTCTTTGGTATTCTTGAATGTGAAATGCATTCAAAAGCGATGAAAAGCTCTTACTAATATGAGTTACCTCCCCAAACACAATCTGACTGTTTACATATTAAGATGGACGACTTCATTTTCTTGATATTGTCTATTTAGTGCAAAAGTTTATAGAAGCTCATCCTGTAATGTGTAGGCCTAAGCTGTGATTTAAAAAAATGTTGAAAAAAAATGCCATTGAGTTACAATACGCTGCTTCGACTTTAGCATAATAAAACATTAATGGAAAATGCATTATAGTTGTTCACTGGATAGACAATGCCTTGGAAGGCCTTTTGGTACAATGACAGGAAGGCACTTGTCATGAAGCTTTCAGATAACTGAGGAAAAAAGAATTTCCTCCTATGCAGCTATGGCTGTCTTCCAGATAAACTGAGAACAAATTACTCACACAAGGCAATTAATTGTCCAAGGCAAACCTTATGTTTCTTTAGACCAAAATAATAATTAAAAAAGTTTACATGAAGTTTACAAATGTTAACACTGTAGAACTATTGCAAAACCAAAATAAATAATTTCATTCATGGAACATTTCAGAATTACCTACCCTATCTTAAATGTATCCAGTTATTCTTAAAGACAAACATCTGTAAAGAAGGTCTTTGCTGCAGAAATACATATTTGGTTAAGGCTTTATTATGAACAATGGTTGCTTGCTAAATATTTTAAATCAGACACAGTAGGATAGCTTGCCAACACATAGCCATTACATTTTTGAAAAACATGTAGTCTATACTACACGTATATGAATGGATAATGCAGCAGGTAAGGGAGATGCTAAGAATACTATGCTTAGTATTCCAAAAGCTCTGTTTTCTTTAGATATTGCAGAGCAATAGACAATGAAGCAGTATGAACTATTCTGTTGTAATTCATTATGGTTCATTAATGAATGAATGAATGGTTCATATTCATTAATCCATAGAAAGTGAAAGAGAACCAAGAGCTTTATGATTACTTTTCATGTTTCAGTATGTTTTACAGAAAGCTTGGAAGAACATTTGATCAAGTAGTTGGGTCAGCAAGCATTGGAGCTCTGGATCTAACGCCAGCTCTGGAGTGATGTTTTTAATCCTCTGCAGTGATTCACTGGGATAATAACATGAATATTCCTGGTTCACAAATAATATTAAGCCATTATGTGGTTGGTTGGTTTTTTGACTTAGTGAAATATACAAACCCATCTCTATAAAGAAGCAGTATTTTATAAGACAGAGGTGGGGAATTTCACATCAAGCCAAGGTAGAAACAAACGGACACGTAAGGGTTAACTACTATATATAAACCAGGGATGCCAACGTGGTAAGGAAACCAAAAAAGCAGACCTATGAAACTGCATTTGGAAACAGCTCTGCTACCTAGCTCTTGCATAGAAAAATGAATTCCAACATCATTTCAACCCCACTGAAACATTCAAATACAGCCAATCAGTACCAAATAGATTTAAAGTGGGTTCAAACTGACTCTTTTGATAAGCTGCATGGCTTATCAAAGGATTCTTGATGCAAACATAGGAGAGGTGACCTCAGGATTTCCTTAAATCAAGGAATTTGGTAAAAACTATTTTTAAGAAAGCATACAAAAGCTGAGGATATGGTTGTTTTTCCTGTGGTATTTTACTGGTTGTACAGTATTTAATTGTTCAGGCATTTAAAATAAATGGCTGGTGTGGGTCTTCCGGGCTGTGTGGCCGTGGTCTTGAAGTCTTGTTTCCT